CAAACTTGTAGAAAAAGTCTTGGTAAGTCTTTAAGAGCTTAACAAAGTTTCAGTGTAGTTTCACATCGATAATCAATCAGAAAGAGTTATACCAATGCTTAAAGACATGCTTAGAGTTTGTGCTATTGATTTGGGTGGATTTTGGGATGGAAGATTATAATTAGTGGAGTTTGCTTATAACAATAACTATCAAGCAAGTGTTAAGATGTGCCCATTTGAAGTAGTACTACATGAAAGAAAATATAGATCTTCTATATGTTAGGATGACATTAGTGATAGTAAGCACTTGAGACCTGATATAATTGAATAAACTATTGAAAATATCAAATGATTAGATAGCACCTTCAATAATATAGAGTAGACAAAAGAGTTATACTAATAATAGAAGACATGATTTGGAATTTAATATTAGAGATCATGTTTTCCTAAAAGTTTCCTAGCAAAGGTGTTATGAGATTTGGATTATGTGGTAACCGAGTCCTAGATTTATAGAATCATTTGAGATATGAGAAATAGTTTAACAAGTAGCTTATAGACTTGTCTTACGACCTGCACTGCATTGGATGGACTCCATAATATGTTTTATTTGTCGATATTGAGTAAATATATTCATGATCTAGATTGTATAATTGAGCTTGAACCAATTTAGTTGGAAAAAGATTTTATCATATGAAGAGCACAACATCATATGTGAATGTGTAATGGAGTAATCATAGCAAAAGAGAAGCAACTTGGGAACTCGAAGAGATTACGAAGAAGATCAACTACCATTAATTATTTTTTGATTCAAGTATGTTAAGTATAGAGGACTTTTTTTTTATTATTATTTCTTTTGGGTAGGGGGAAGGAGAGAATGTAAGTAATACCCATGATATGTAATTAAGATTACAATATGGGACATATTTGAAAATCTAAGATATTAGAGTCTTTAGTGTGTAACCTCTATTGTTTTCTCATAAAAGCGTCTTTCTTCTACACATGAAAAGAGGTGGTTTTCTAGAAAAACTCTATGGGGTCAACACCCAATGGGGAATCAAGATCGTGCCATGGAGTAGGTAAGGATTATGATCTTTCTTATAATTTCTTCATCAAAATTTTTAGATTGTAAGAAAAAGAATCTTATGATTTGATCAGATACAAATCTTGATCTTATAATGAAGAAAAAAAGAACGGTGTCACAACAAGTCGTGGATGACTTACGGTGGCGTATGGTGTGATGTGTGTGAGAAAGGAGTTGCACCATAAAGAAGAGATGGAGTGCCTCGTGAAATTTGGTGGGGAGGAAGAGAATGGGTGATGTGTGTGCATGGTAGATTTGGCAGAGAGAAAGAAATGAGTATAAATAAATAAATAAATAAAATGATTATTATTCATTATATTGATTTATATTATTTGAATGATCTTTATTCACTATATCATTTCTAATAGTCTAGGATTAAGGTAAGTATCCAGTGACTCTATCTGATTTTTTTTTTAATTTAATTTAATAATATATATTTGTTAATAATAAAATTATATGATTTGTAAGCGTTAGAATAAATAAATTGTTGGTTTTTGAAAATAACTATGTCAGTAGTGCAGTTATTTTTAAAATGATTGAAAAATATTTTATTATTGTATGTTTGAATGTTATCTTGTTTGACAAATTTGAAATGATATATAAAAATTTATACATTAGAAGGATATATTGATAGATTATTTTAAGTGATATTCAATTGCTTAGTCAGTTTGACTATGATTTAGATCTTACAAATGAAGGTTATATGTTAATTAAGTTTATAAACTAATTTCTTCTGGACCTGACATGGAGAGATAAATGTATTACTTCTTTTCGGATACATGCTTCTAGCTATAATTATGGTTATTTATAAACTTAGATGTGAACTTAACTATATTCATGCTGATTCCGGATTAGTTAATGGTAACCTTTCCATTAAAATGGTTTCTATTCACTTATGTTTTTGTTATAAAAATATATTCAATGATTATGTTTGAAACTTATTATATATATAGGCATAAAGGAATATTTAATATATATATATATATATATTTTTAGATACAAATTTAAATGCATAAAGGATATACATGTTTAATAATACATTCTTTTGTTACTAGTTTCAAAGTATATGAGTTATGATGCCAATAACATCTCTTTTGTTTAAATTTTTCATATCACAAGGAGTAGATAAGATTTGATTTTACCTTGAGCAAATAAATTGTATTATTTTAAGGTATCCAACTCTTAAAGACTTGTCATGTAATAAACCTTTAGTTGGATGTCATTTGGTGAACTTATTTATATTTGAGAGTTCAACATATCACTGATGTTATTTGTGAACATTTTGGATGTATCTATTTTGTGTTGTATGAAGTGGATGAATTTGATTTTAAGCTGTGTAAGTTTAGGTCTTGTAATTCTCATAAGGATGTTTTGTGTTGTGTGAAGTGGACGTGACTTTGCTCTCTCTCTCTCTCTCTCTCTCTCTCTCTCTCTCTCTCTTTTATCTCATATACAACAAAAAATATTTCCAACAATTTTAACATTGCTTATATAAGGTGTGATCACGAAGTGATACAGTCCTCCAAAGCTACCAAAGTGATGACTTTAATCTCAAAGTTGCACGCGAGTCTTGTTGACCTCCCTTCATAGATGATGGGTATGCATGGCATGGCAGTCAAGGTCAAGCAAGCATCCATCAAGAGTCGCTTTAGCACGTGTGGCCCCCCACCCCCCCCACAGTTTGTTTGGACTCCAAATGCAATGCACCCTCTCGTGCTTCATCTTTTTCATTCCCTCGCCCCACGTTCTTCGTCCCAAACCAATCATTCTAATAAGGTTTTCCAGTGGACGGTAAGATTGACGTCTTCAATGTTGGGTTGGCTGTTTATTGTGAGCCAAAGACATGAGTGAACACACACAGTGGGTAAGAATGTCGCTTTGTCAAAAGTCGTACCGAGGTTTTGCTTTGTAGAGATTGCCGGACAAGCTTGGTTTGGACCAAATAGATGCTTTGCTAATGCAAACAACAGTCGCTGAGATGGACAGCTGACCTTCCTCCAAAGAAGAAGAAGAAGTCCTTAATCCTTTACTAATAACCTTATTCGGTCAGTAACCATATATGGATTTGAATTCTATAATACGTTGATTGGGAGTTGCTTACTGTCATCTCCATTATTTATTTGATTGTACCAATAGGTGTTCATTCAGCTAATGCTGATGTCATTGCTTACTTGTTTCTCTAATTCTAGTGTTTCTTGAAACGCAAGCTTCGTCGATCGTTGACCGACTCATGTGGAAGAAGACATAGTTATATGTATATTATTACCACCGCAGATGCTTATGGTTGAGAGATTCAGCAGTACTAATCACTCATCTGAGGCTTATTTCAATGTTTGCTATCTATCTGGCAAATCAAAACACTTTGCAGATTAGAAAGAAGATGAACATGGTAGGTTTGACTTCCTTGTCTATCTGAAGAAAGCACTACATTAGATAAGTTGGCAAATGAAGAAAGAAACTAGTTAGGCTTGTAACAGTGCATATCATTTCTCTCCTATAATATGCATGCTCATGAATGCTCTGCAGGCCCAGCGGCAGGGAAGCAATGTGATGCGCTCTCGTCACTTGTGCTCCGATTCCACGCTGTTACTAACACCCCCATTTCCATGGTCTTTCTCGAGGAAAAGAAGCCATGGCAAGCAATCGAAAGACGACACAGACGCATCCGTCTTTCCACGTGTCCAACCACCCAACTAGCAGACTGCAGCCCCATCACTGTTCCTTCTTTTATGTCTTCCGTTAGCCATGACATCACCTGCCCACCAGAAGTGTGTGTGTGCGTGCGTGCCCATTGGAGTCGGGTCAATCTTGTCACCTAAACCAGGGTCTCTTCCTTAACCTCGGGATGAGGTTGTCCATGAGGTGGACCGAGGACGACACCCAGCAGAGCTCCATAGCTCCACCGTCACCCACCACTAGAAAATTCTCGGATGCTGAGTACCATCTTCACTAGAAGAATCGCGCACTCTTCGGCCTTTCTCTCGAGTTCAACCTGCATGCAGAATTCCACGCCACCACTGGCCACTGTGGTTGGCGACTTACCATCATTCCATCAACTGTATTATTCTATGATAGATATTCTACCCTCAGGCAGTGGATGGGAAAAGGTAAAGAAGCTCGGCGTGGTGTGGTGTGGTGTGGATATCCACACGGAATTCCCCATTCTCCGAAGAAGATTATACTTAATGCCATCATCAGGTTCATTTCATCAAAGTTTCTTTTGCCCCGGCAAGTGCTATGTGAATCAAAAGGAATTGGGGCAAAAGCAGCTCCCCTCCTCCACAGTGCACACTGTTTTTGGAGATAAGGCTTGTTCATATTTGTTCATCATGGAAGTTCCAAATGGGGAGTTGCATTCATCACGAAGAAAATGACCCAAGGAAGAAAAGTCCAGAGGTCTAAAACTAAAGCAAACAGCATTAGCTGCCTTTCACATATAATAGTAGATGAGAGAACCTAGTGTTAGGTCAGTGGGGTTCCTACCTAATTAATTAATTAATTAATTAATTATATATATATATATATATATATAATGTATGAGATGAACTGATTAAAATTAAGTCTTGGTTTACCAAATTATCAATTACCAGCCAATTAAACATAAAGAAAGTGGTCCAGAGTGCGGTTGATGAATGTTACTTGGACATGAGTGCTGCTGAATTAGACAACACATGGATTGATGAGGACGTGTAGTGACATGTAAGATGGTAGCTTAGTTATTACAAGGCAATTCCATGGTTAATTTATTGGCCAACAAATGAGGCCACAAAGTATGCGCAAGTAGATCAGATGGAGGGATAGAATTGACATGCATTCACAATAAACAAATGGAGGAGGTAATGGTAAGGGCGGAATGGTAGAGAAAAAGGAGACTTCCTAGCAATTGAACTCGACACAATAGAGGAGAGAGAGAGAGCGGAGTAGGAACGGACCGACTCTCTCTCTCTCTCTCTCTCTCTCTCTCTAAAGTCTACAAAGGCCACAACCCCTGCCCTTCGCAGCCCTTCTTCTAAGCCCTCAGTCTTCCTCTTTCCTTGCTCGTGTCTTTTGAATAGAAATCAGCAGGAACACAGACAAGTGGAAGGTGTTGACGATTGAAATGGCGATCGATCAGGAATCCCCCTTCAAGGAGCTCAATCTCAAGAACCGACGAGTCATGGTGATGATCTTTCTTTCATGTATTATCGTTTGTCTTTGTTGGTTCTCTCTAATATTGGTGCTGTGGGTTTCTGATGTGGTGGTTGTCTTGGATGGATTGGTACTGGAACAGGGCGGAGGAGGGCCGGCGGACGACAACCGGTGGCCGCCGTGGCTTCGTCCCCTGCTGTCGACGAGGTTCTTCGTCCCGTGCAAGCTCCACGCCGACTCCCACAAGAGCGAGTGCAACATGTATTGTCTCGACTGCACCGGGGGCGCCTTGTGCTCGCTCTGCCTCAACCATCACCGCGATCACCGCACCATCCAGGTCCGCCTCTCTTCTTCCTTTCTTACGCTCTTCCCTTTGCATCCGTTGGCCGGCATAGCCCTCGCCATTCCTTGTCCCGCCATATGAATGGCGGCTTCTTGATGGAGGATAGATGGATGGATGGGTTCCGCTGTTCCTTCCCTTCCGCCGATAAAGGCAGCACCTTCGGTAGCGGTTCCGTGTTTATTCCACCCAAAGAAATCCCCACCTTCTCTACATCCATCGCTGGCACTGCTTCATCCCGAGGCAGCGCATTCTACCTCGGATTAATCTCTGTTGGTTGTTGATGCAGATTCGGCGCTCGTCCTACCATGACGTGATCAGGGTGTCGGAGATCCAGAAGGTACTAGACATCACCGGCGTGCAGACGTACATCATCAATAGCGCCCGTGTGGTGTTCCTGAACGAGCGCCCCCAGCCGAGGCCAGGCAAGGGCGTCACCAACACCTGCGAGGTCTGCGAGAGGAGCCTCCTCGACTCCTTCCGCTTCTGCTCCCTCGGCTGCAAGGTCCGCTTCCCACTTAATTCCCCTCCGCCGATTACACATCTATTGTACTGAATGTCGATACGCTGAATTCAGATTTCCGGCACCGGGAACGATTACAACGGCAGCAGGACGAACAAGTCGACCACGAAGAAGGCGATGGCAGAAGCATCGGACTCGGAAGAATCATACACCAGCTCAAGCCGGGGCAACGAGAAGAGCAACAACGTGAAGCAGAGCTTCACTCCGTCCACCCCGCCGCCAGCTGTCGTCAGCTACCGGAGCGCCAAGAGGAGGAAGGGCATTCCACACAGAGCCCCCTTCGGAAGCCGCATCTTGGAATTCTAGGCCATGCCGCCCTTCTTCATTACCACCACCCACAGTGATACATACTGATACGCTACTACTACTAGTGTCCACCACATAGGCAAAACTTATCGAAGCAGTTGCTGAAGCTTAAACTAAGGCATGGATTCTATAGTTATTACTATGTGATGGGTTAGTTAAGAGGAGGGACAGTTAGGTAGGTGGACTGGGGATATCTAAGTTTTGTGATGGTAGATAGGTTTTGGGCTTGATAAATGTAAATACTGATAAGAAGGGGAGCCATAGGGAGATGGTTGGCTACATAAAAGGATAGAAGAATGTGTAATAAAATGCTCCTTGTATACTTCGTGTTAAAGATCGGCCATGGGTGCGACGGAGTGTGGTGGCTGCGCCCGCCATCTCCAGCTTTTTCCGGTCAAGGCGGGTGGCGTCGGCTCTCGCTTCCTGGGGCCCACGCTCGTGGCCTCCGCCGTGGTGGCCCGCGTGCGTGCAAGTGGTTCGTGGGGACGGGTTCTATAACGGAGGGGTCCACGCTGGCGGCGTTCCCTTGGTGTTGCGTTGTCCACAGGACCAGCCTCCACCGTTGACGTCGTAATTAACCACCACCACCTCGCTTACCAGAATAAAGTAATCACACTCGGTGCCGAGGAGAATACTTAATCGGGTCGGATCCTAATCTTAGAAAAGTAGAAGCAATAAGTGGAATATGTTTTCTTCGCGATGGTGGCCAGACCCACACGTGCCGACCGTGGCACTCGAGACGTTTCGTGGCTCGGATTGAGCTTCCACTGTCCGGGTCCCACGTGTCGGCCCCGTCGCTGGAACATCCCGTGCACCTGGAGCAGATTTTTTGTTTCCCTCTACATCTTCCTTTGTATGTCGTCGCGGCGTGTCGACAGATGATCATGGCCGTTGATGTGATCTCACGTGAATCCTGCGATGCGAATGTGCTGACTCAACTAGCCGGGTATTAATTGGGGGGGTCCACGTAGGGCCTACGTTCTCCAGCGAGAGGATAAGTATGGAATTAATTGTAGATAAGGATAAATATAGCAGATGGATTCCTGGGCATGGCGTGGCACGTGCTTCTTTCCCTTTAAGCATGGAAAACGCGCGGCTCACACGTGCTTCTTCCACCGACGAACGTACGTATCGGCGTCGTAGCTCGGCATGAACGGCGTCAGATATCAAGTCAAGTCTGACACTTAATCTTCCGCTGCTGCTTCTTCCTCTTCTTCGTGTTGCAGTTAAACGAGAGCTTTGGATGCGCATGAAGTGGCCCCTGCCGAGAACAGCAACCACATCCTCCCGTGAATTTGTTTCTTTATTCTCCTCTCCTATCTCATGATGTGAGTTGCTTGCTCATCCTTCATCCTCATCCTCTACCTGACAGCTGCTCTGTCGACTGCGGGACCTTTCGTGCTTGTTCTTCCTTCCATACGGTGGCTGGGAAACCGGCAAAGTCTTGTGGATATGGAGGTAGAGATAGCCAATTTGTTTACGGTAATCGCGGTCTTAGAACGTGATTAGAAAATGAACACTTCCGGACGAAGTGGAACTTTCACACATCAGTCGCACCATTTTACACAAACATACATCATTAGAGGAACACACCTCATTTCTCTAATGGTGTGGTGGAAGGTGGACACCCCTTGGAATTGGGTGGCCAACTCGCAGTCCATTATTGGTGATGAGAGCACGGTTGGACCTCTGAGGAGCGCCCATGCCCAAATGTCTCTCAACCTTCCGGAAAAGTCTGTGTCACAATTGAGGGGATGGGTAAGCATACAGGTGACTAAAAGGCAAACAGTGGAGTAATTCAGGCGTTACTTGTAACTCTAAAAAATGAAACAGCGCAATGACCAAGTGACGGAGCACTCGTCCTCCTCACACTGGCTTGGGTCAGTGTCTTGGTGGCATATTTCTACTCTCCAAGAGCCTAACTCGTGGGCATGTCCTCGAGTGACCTTCCGGACAAGTCCATTAAAGGTTGTATTGTCTACAAATAGGCCCATCTCTTTCGATGAGGTGAAGATAGTAGACTTAGCAACATGCTCAAACAACATATGCCAACTAATTTAGTTAGTCAAAATCTTAAAATTATACTAAAAAATCTCTCGAAAATATAGTGGGATCAAGAGATCACAGAAGAAAGTATGGAGGAGAATAAAAACTTACAATCTTTTAGACCTTGAATCTCTGAACTTCTTGGCTCCTTATCTTTGCATTAGATGAACCATTTATCTATAGAGGAGTAAACTCACAATTTTAACTTTTAACTATAATAGAAACTCTTATCTAATCACAAAGTTTGATTTAATATTTCAACATCCTCTCTTAAATTAAACTTTACAAAAAATATTATGGAGAGCCTTGAAGCTTTATGCAACCTACTTAGATGTTGTTATTGTGTGTAATGATTTCTGGATTCTATTAATTTTTGAGCCACACAATCTACAGTGGTCATCCATGTGCTCAATCTATCTCATTTGTCTTGAACCAATCTTCAAATATAAAATCAATCTGATCAACATAACCATTTGCATAAAAAATTAACTTCTTTATCATAGAATATTCATTAGTCTTTGTTGCTTCTAGATCTTCAATAATAATCTTCAAATCAGCATTAATAACATCTTTTGAATACTTAATAAGTGATTTTATAAATTTTTTATTTTTATAGGTAGGTAAATGGCTTTTACATTTTTCAATAAAAATAAAATCATCTACTCCAAAAAAAAATCAATAATATCCCTGCTGCAATATGAATCTTGCTTTTGTATGATATTGGCATCTTTAATCTCAATAAGAATACTATTGGGAGAATCTACCATATATGATGAGGTCTCTTTTTTTATCTTTTTCAGTTGAAATATCTTCACTTTTTTCTAGTTCTTGTATTTTTTTTATTTACTTTAAGATGATATATATATATCTCTTTTATAAATATCTTTAGTGTTATTTTCTCATATTCTATGTTAAAAACCATTCTTTTTTCTTATATTCGAAGAGTAATTCAAAATCTCTATTATCCGTCGTATCTTTAAAACCATCAAAGATAATTTCTTTTAAACTTTTCGATCCAAATAAGTTCTCTTTCCATCTCTAGTAATTTTTTTCTATCAAATCCAGGTAACAATGAGATCCAAAATAATTCATAAAAGTCATCATCCTTATTTTCAATCATCTCTTTTGAAAGTAATCAAAATTTTAATATGTCGATATTTCTTTGTTATCTAATCAACATCAGTGATCTCTTTTACTTTTTCTCCTATTATAATGTAATTTTGTTGATTGCTTTCTTGATCTCAATATCTTCTCTTATTTGATGGTTGTCATGATCATATTTGTTCTTTTCTCTCATTAATTTTTCTCTATAGTTTCGGATTTTCTCTTTCTATTATTTTTCTCTCTAAATAGTCTTATTTTCTCTCTCTAAAGTTTTTTTTAATATTCTGGTAAGTCATATACTCGAATCTCATCTTTGTCATTTATCCTTGTAAAAAAAATATTTGAAGAAATAAAAAACTCATAAAATTCTAGGCAAAATCCAACACATATAATCCGAATCCTTTCGTCCTTAAGAATATTCTTTTAATTTTCATAATATTCACATAAATATTTCTAAGCATTATTAGCACTAGGAAGCCACATGTGCATACCAACTGGGATACATTCTATATTTCTGAGAGAGAATAAAGGATTTATTTGTATGTAAGTCTGGGAGACAATTTTATTAACTACTTCAATCTTTTTCCTTCCTGTATATTATCAACGCTAGCTTTAAGGAGTTTGATGATGTTACGGTCATATCAGCAGCAGATGCAGCTTTAGATTTCCTGTCATCGATATTTCAAGCCCCTGCAGAAATAAACCCGTAGATCATGATCATGGAATCTTTAGCGTTCCAAAGTATCATATTGGTGACTCTCCAGAAACCAGATCGATCTGTGACATTGGAAAGATTGTCAGAAAGATTCGTCTCTCCGTCCCATCTTTTTAACTGGTCAGTTGCCCATCGTCTTAAACAGTGGCAACTGCGTCAAAAGACTCACGGGAGGAGTCATCAGTCACTACTTTGCATGCCCAGCTCAGTGTCTCACTGCTGACACTATGAGGGCCCCTGCAGGGATTCACTTGGCCGGGTGGACTCCTAGCTTTTGCGTATACGCGTTAGAGAGAGAGAGAGAGAGAGAGGAGGATGATGGTGTCTTAGCTTTATCTGATGCCCTTTATTCCAGATTGCCTCTTTCTTTCAAGCTTGTTAAGCTTGTTTGAGACTCCACTTCCTGGTTGGTTTGCCGATGAATTCTTCTCCCGTCACCCTCGGCCTTAATCAGCTTCGTGGATTGTTGAACCACTTCAGAACAATTCGACAAAGCTAGAAGAGGAACGATGTGGCTTCTTTCTTGCAACCGTAAGACCTATCCTAGCTAAATGTCATACCGACAGCATAATCCTCTTCCAGCTTATCTTCATCTGTTTGTTGCATATACATTTCGGTCCAACCTCGCTTTTCTTGAACCTTGAGATCTCACTTTCATAACCTCTGCAGAGAACATTCATTTGCTAGCCTCTTTGATCTTTTAACTGACCCCATCACGTGCTCCAGTTGGTACACGAAAGACTCTACTTCTCTGGTGTCACTCTGGCATTTACTACGAACCACTTGTGTTCTTCCTGCTGATGTAGAGGTGTTATCTTTATGCTCCATGGAGCTGACTCACCGATGATAACCCACATATTCGATTCCCATGCCATGTTGATCATGTGTTAGTCTAAAGCCGTCGAGGTGGGCGACTGGAACTGTGGCGAAAAGGAGATCAGCAGTTCAGATCTTCGAGAAAGAGACTGGATTCTGAGACAACATGTTCTCGCCCTCCAAGAACAAAAAGCTGTGTCTTTGACTGCTGATAAAGCCAACACATCCTCAGTTTGGCGTACACCGAGACCGACTGTTGGGTTGAGCAGTAAAATCTGATCCCAACATTGGCCATCGGCAGATGCTCACCGAAGCGCATGAGCAGTGACCCACTGGAGGATTCCTTTGGCCTTGATTTGACTTCATGTCGATGAGGAGGAGTTTGTCTAATGTCGATAGTCACCAACTCTCAACAATAATGTTGCAGTAATGTTATTGGCATCCTCCTCGGTCAACCAACCATCAACCCTCCCACCACATGTCCATCACCCACCCTAGCAAAGAAAAACAAAGGAAATATGGAAAGATAAAGAGCCAAAGGAGCCTTGACAAAAGCAATCTAACCATCATCTCTCTTCCTCTACACTTTGCTTTGCAATCAAGCACGTCTGATTCCTTCACCACACTTCATAAACCCACCCATCAAGCTGAAGTAGAGCTCTTTGTCTCTCACCACTCATCTTCCCTTCTCCCTCTTTCAGTCTCCCAGTTCACTTCCTACTTTGATCCCCATCAATTTCTGCGCTGCGATTTCTTCATGGCCGCTTCCGACAACCAACAATCTTGGGTTCCGTATGTGCCAACTAGAGATTGCTCTATGGGCTTCTGTAGCATCTACTGTCCGCAGTGGTGCTACGTCGTCTTCCCACCCCCTCCCCCTGTTGAATTCACCAGCGACAACTCCGGCCTCACCTTCTCCCCCCTCGTGATCGTCATCATCGGCATCCTCGCCGGCGCCTTCCTCCTCGTCTGCTACTACGCCATCATCTCCAAGTACTGCGGCACCTTTGACTCGCTGCGACGGTGGCTCGATCCGCCCGGCACAGATAACCGCGAGGTCGACGATGGTAATGTCGGACAATCTCGCCGCCATGAAGCTTGGCATGCGTCCCCGACGAACGGGCTCGACGAGATCTTAATCAATAAGATTGCGGTCTACCAGTATCGGAGAGGCGATGGCATGGTGCAGGGCACCGATTGCGCCGTTTGCCTCAGCGAGTTCCGGGAGGATGACAGCCTTCGGTTGCTCCCCAAGTGCAGCCACGCCTTTCATCTCCGGTGCATCGACACGTGGCTGAAATCGCACTCTAATTGCCCCCTCTGCCGTGCCAGTATCGTAACAGTCAATCCGGCGTTGCCGCCGCAGTCGCCGTCCGCTCCAGAGCCTCAGAACAACCCTGAGGTCGAAGAAGCTGCACAAGCTGATGAGACAGTTCTGGTTATAGAAGATCTAGTCGTCAATGCAGAAGAGGAGACAGATCCCGGAAGCAGTCGCGATGCAGCAAAGGATCCTTGTTCACAGATCTACCGTGATTCGAGAGGGGTAGAAGAGACGGACGCAATAGTTGAGATCAGAGACGACGACATCCAACCGATGAGGCGATCGTCCTCGATGGACGCTTCGTGTTGCGACCGGGTTTCGATCGCCGACGTATTGCAAATGAGCATGGAGGATGAGTTGCTAGCTGCAAAGGAAAACGGGCTGTGGGTGGCTACCAGCTCCTCGAGGCGTGCAGCGGGAGATCACAGCAAGGTCAGGAGATCGCAAGAGAGCAGGGGATTGCATGGTGTTATGAGCGCAGTGCCGATGAAAAGATCATTCTCCAGCGGGAGGTTCTGCTTAACCAAGCAAGGAAGGCGAAGGAATGGTCTTCAGGTACAAGAAGCTGCCGAATGATCTTTCGTGGAAGAACTCCCCATTGTTGAGTTGGACATGAGAGAAACATGGTGATTCTTGGGCGAATAATTCTGGTAAGAGCTCCCTGGTTGGTCTGTATACATGCTTCGGTTTGAGTGGCTTCGAATTCGTTCAACACAGCCCATGCTTGGTCTCCATGTTGTGTCTTTGTTTCTTCTCTTTGCTTTCTTTCTCTTATTCTGCTTCATACGACTTCGACCTCGCGCACGGCCTTCTGGCTTCATCTTTGGTTTTGTTCATTGCCAAGTTATAGGTAACTCAGAAAAGATGATCCTTTGTACGAAAAGGAAATTGTGGATAATTACCTGGTGTTTGATGTATTGTCTCTACAATCTTTCATTGGGTTGGTAATGAAATCAGTTAACATTCGATGAAAACATGGTTTGCTGCAAGCATCGAGTGGGCACGGGAGCACATAAGGTTGTAGACCAGAACAAGCGAAATTTAACTTTTTGTCAGGGATCAAAGAACCCCTCTGGTTCTTTCCTGGGGACCTCTCCATGGTCAGGACAAACTCCATTCGAGTAGCACTCCATTCTTGATCAAAGGGTTAGGTAGGTGGTGGAGGGTTGAGAGGTTGGCAAAAGCCAGGCGGCTGCCCGTGGAGCGTCTTATTCTGAGGAGGTTGACATACTACCCACCTGAATACAGATCCAGTTCAGGTTGATGTTCGCCTTGAAGCTTTTCGGCCTACCAATGGCTTCCCATGAATTATTTCGACAAAGAAAGCTAACATAGGTGTTTGTGATGTCGTGGATTCCCTTACCTCAAGAGTTAATGAAAGTGGACCTTCTCTATCCGCTTCAGCTGACATGCCGAGGAAGGAATCATGTGGGAGACACAATACAATGTTCTTGTAGGAATGATTCGTATAGCACGAAATCCACCAAACTTACGGTCGATGAGTTGACATGCAGCAGGATATCGACAAGTGATTGTAACAAAGCACAGGACGTGTCCAACTACATGCAGATTGTAATCTACTTGGCTAATGGCAGAGCCACTAGTAACTTAATATTGTCATCGATTTCAATTCCCGTGTGTTGTTCGTAAGCTCTACTAAATCTCGGCAAAAACTCCGATCAAATCTAAGTCGGAAAGATACGAGCATTTATAGCCACGTGTTTCCTATGAGGTCCGCTCCTTCACGGGCGCTCGCACTGTTCGTCTTCATCGTGCTGCACCCTCGTCGGCATCCTCCCTCCTCTCTCCTGCATTCGTCGGGTTCGAGGTCCTCTCCGGTGCCGATTTCTCCAACCGTCCCTCCGCCCCCTCCCCGTCGTCGTCGATCGAGATGCAATGGCTGTCGCATCCACCGTCGACGGCCTCCCGCACCGCCATGACGGCGGCCTCGTCGGGCGGTGCCTTCAGGTCGCAGCGGCAGAGGGGGCAGGTGGCGTGGGCGGCGAGCCAGGAGTCGATGCAGGGCGGGTGGAAGGCGTGGCAGCAGACGGTGAGCAGGCGGATTACGTCGCCACCGGCGAACTCGGCGAGGCAGACGGCACACTCCGCTCCGCACTTGCCCTCCTGCAGCCCCCTCACCAAGGAATAGGGCAGCGTGGGGAACGACGCCAGGATGTCGGGGTCCAGCCCGCGCAGGCAGGAATCCGCGGCGGCGGCGTTTGAGGTGGTGGGCCGGCGGACGGCGCTGGGCGACCCTCCGTAGAAGAACGCATAGGTGAAGTGGAGGATGTCGCGGAAGAGGAAGATCGAGAGGAAGAAAAGGAGAAGGAAGAAGAGAAAGACGATGGGGAGGAGGATGGGGATGGAGCGGGACGGGGGGAGGGCTTTGGAGACTCCGGCAGCGGGGGAGGGAAAGGAACAGTGGGGGGACGGAGGAGAAGATGGGGAAGGGAGGAGGGAGCGGCAGTGGTGGTGGAACGAAGGTGGGTTGCTCGCCATCGCCAAATGGGTCTGGCTCCGGGCGACCGGTTGGCGGCGCTTCGCATGGAACTTTGGTCGAACAATTGGTGGCGCGTGAACTTGGCCACAGATTGTTACTCGTTCGCTTATTTGCTTCAGAGAGAGAGAGAGAGAGAGAGAGAGAGAGAGAGAGAGAGAGAGAGAGAG